ACCTTTCTCCTGACGATAAGAGTGGTATCATCATCATCATCAACATCATCCTCCAGAATGGGAGATGCTGAGGCTAGCCGTTTGCGGCTTGGGGCACTCTTGACTGTAGTAGGCTTGGCAGGAAGAGAAGAAGATGGACGAGCAGACTGTTTAGCGCGACGAGGAGGAGAAGGACTCCGGATGGACAAAGGAGTGACTAAAACAGGAGGAGGGGAAGAAATGCTCGGCTGGTCTAGTGAATGAAAGACACGATTGGCATCAGCCGCAAATAATCTGCGTTTCACTGACGCCCAGAGCTGTTCAAAAAGAGGATGGATGGCGTGGCTAGAATTAAAGGGGGCTAATGAAAAATAGCTGGTTAAAAGAAGATTGCGAGCATTTATAGCCTCTGCCTCCGCCTTATTAATAATATGAAAACGATCAATTAAGTTCCTTGAATAGCAAGAAGGAACAGGCCAAGTTTGACTGAAACCAAGCTGGCGAGCAAAAAATTGGGGAGCATAAATTTCTACCCCTGCCTTGGCATTGGTCCCAATTAAAATATCATGAAATAGCTCCCTCCCGGTTAAAAACTGGATCCAAATGAGCAGGGAGGTGCTCGCGCTATCTATAGTGGAGGGGGGATGTACATAGTCTGGAGTCAAAAAAAGGAAGAGATTGAATCCAAAGAATAAAAGAATGAAAAAATGTCCCTTCTGGACATATTTACAGGAGCCAAGGGCTCCATGGCTAGCCCATAACAGCTAGCAGAGGAGCGGGAAATTGATGGAGCACCAAGCAATGGAAAATAGGATCTCAACCACAGTTGAGTGAACCAAAGAGATCCACTACCAGCGGGAGATGCACCATTCTTCAATTGAGTTTGAAGAGAGGCCATGCCTCTATAAAGGGCAGCCAAAAAGAAAGAACATAAATTCAAAGGCTTGCCACGCGCCAATTCATGCGCTATAGGTAAATAACTCAGGGAGGGCTTTATGTTTGGCGCACACAAAATATATTTACAAAGCCAAACTAGAAGAAAAACCACTCGCTCAGTATGGGAAGGCCCAGTGCTTGAATGATTGTGAAGGGTTTGCAGGCTTGAATAAGACTCGGTGTAGTTTCTACCAAACTTTGGGGCGCCACCAGAAATCAAGATACCAGGAAAAATGGTATCGCCCAAAGGTGGTAGATTCACTAGGGCCCAACATCCCTTAAAGTAATAGACATGGGACCAAAAGGGAAAATAAAGGTATTATACTCAGAAGACCAAAAACTCAAAGCAATCGAAAAAAGTGCTAAATCAAAAGTAGGGGGCGAATAGAGATTTCTAACAAATCAGAAATCCTAGCATTATCAAAAAGTGCCTTAGTAGGACCATGGCCCACAAGACGAGCATGCCACCTACTGAAAGCTACATCAGATTTAGGCCAAGTGCGAATACCTCTTTCTCGAAGTGGCCCCAGCGGCAGAGAGTTTAGAAATGGAGGGCCTTGAGTCCAAGGAAATAGCTGACCCACCGCCGCCTGTTCGACTGCCTCTGCATTGTTGAAGAAAGGACCTAAGTAGAACTCATTGCGTTCGATATCGACGGGCGCGAGAAAACTCGAAGTTATGTATGGACGACTCAAAAGTTTCTGAAAGTCATCAAAACTAAAGGAGTCGCCAGCTTGAGATTGTGAAGTAGCCATTTGAGATGGAACGAAGTTTTTCAGGGTTACGTAGTAGGGAAACAAAAGATGAACAGTAAATCGTGGGAGAGACGCGAAAAATTTGAGGCGTGATTTAATGGTGCAGTGAAATGGCGTGTTTGGGGGATCAGATAGCTCAAAGAACGAAGCCCAATCAAACAATTCAAGATGAAGGCCCAAATAGGGAGGCCCAAGAACGCGGTAACGCCATCGCCCAAGTTTGTAAGTCGCCCAGAATCTGAGTGAATGGAGTGTCATGCAGTCGCCCAGAGCTGTTACCTATTCTCGCCCAAACCTTCAAGTCGCCCAAAGTCTTAACAAACATAAAGCGTTGTGGTTATCAAGAAGTGCAGTTATCAAAGCAGTTATTAAAGCAGCCCTATCACGTTCCACGATTCAAGGAATTCAATCGAAAACGGTTGAACGACGAAGAGTAATGACAGCAGTTAAAAAAGGCAGTTTTCATGACAAGCTGGCCATTATGAGGAAAGTGGGCAGTTGCAGAACGATCAAGCAGTTTTTAGGCGGTTGATCACAAAAAAGATCATCCATGGAGTATAAAAGGAAGAAAAGACATTGAGCAAAGGACCGAATAAAAAACTCTCGAAACAGAGAACATGTAATTTTAATTTCCTTAGTTTAGATTTAAACACTTTTTTCAGTAACTCGTGTGCTTGCGCCCCTTGGAGGCATTTTGTTTTTGATTTCCAATTGTAAAGTCATCGCCAATAAAAGAACACTCATTTTTGGGACTTTGTCTCAAGAGATTTGTCCCTTACACAATCGTCTGATCCCTTTTAATTGTTAGCGACTAACCCGCGCGAAACACATACTATTAGCATCTAATGGCTTGTGGGATTACATGAACACGTCTGTTTATAACCTTTACTGGTTAGAGTAATCTATTTTTCATGAATAAACTTTTGTAATCTATGAGTACTTTCATGTATTTCAGCACGGAAGCTATTAATTTTGTAAGAATTTAACTTAGATAACATGGAGATGCTCGTGTCATATACGCACTATTATTTAGTAATTTAGTTTCCGAGCAAGCATAGTTAATTTATTTTCTTTTGTTAACAGATGGCTTCTGAAGTTCTTGCGCCAATGGCTCTGGTAAGTAGTTTCACAGGATTATTATTTTCCATTTCTGCGACTAAATTGCAATTACTATTCTAACCTGCAACTAAGTATTGAAGAACCGAAGCTCACAAGATAACATCAGCATTGTCATTGCTGATTTAGGGTATGCATTTCTATTTGTTGGCTAGTGCCTGTCAATACCATTGAATGAATGGCTTTAAAAAGTTAATGCTGGATTACTTTCCAGCTGCTGGAAAGTCTTTATTGTCTTTTTCAATGAGATGATTCAGTGTATCGATAATCCACCTGCCTTTAAAGTCAAGACGATGTTTTTACTTGGAAATTCCAACTTTCTGTTGGGATCCCTATAGTAAATTCATACATAGCTTACGAAAACTTATAAATGCGCGGAGATGAAGTCAAGAGTCTTGTCGCCGCAAGTTTATGAAAATCGTGCATGTGTGGGATCTTTCGTGAAAAAATGAATCCTATATTTAAAATATATAAAGTGTTTCCGTTTCTAATAGTTTAAGCTTTTATACGAGGTGGTTCAGTAAATTAAAGTGAAAAAGACTAGCAAAAAAGGTTTTGATAAGGACGTTTTGATAAGGACAGCTCATTGATTAATTTTGTTGTATAATGATTACTGTTTCCCATTAAAACATAAAGTCAAAATGACAAATGACAACAGATGGGTATAATGGTAGTTGAACATTTCATGTTTCCAATTCATCAGCTTTTTGTTTAAGAGAAATATAGAAAAAAGTATATTCATCGGCTTTTTGCAACGTTTATTTACTCGATAAATGAAGAAGCTCTTCTCTTCTTTAACTTCATGATTGTTCTTGGATTTTAAATGTGCGCAGGCGAACAGATTGGGAAAATTTACCTCTGGAGCAACAAAGTTCTTTGTATGAACTGTGCCAAGCTTTAACAACAATCAGTATACTATCACTTGGAATATGGGTGTCAACTCTGCTTTCATCATGAAATCGAAGTTCAACTAGTTATATGTAAATAAAGTCAGAAGTAATTAAAAAGAATGCACCTGTTCGGCCTATGCTTTTTACATATAATCTTGAAATAGACCAGAAATAGTCATCATATAATGCTTTTCACACAAAATATATCGATCTACTATAGTTACAAATACAATCTGCTTGTGGCTTGTATATACTTGACATGTACCAGGATCTGCTTATGGCTTGTAGTTGCCTCTGTATGAATGACTAGTATCTGTTACTGCAACATACTCTTATCTGTCTTAGCAGGTTATGTAGCCATTGCTTTTTAGATAACTTGGAAGTACTCTAATGGCACGGTCTGTATAAATGAGGGAATAATGGGCATGCTTGGTATGTTTTACTGGACATGATTCATTAAACAAGGGAGACATATTACAAATTTGTCGGTTGTCATGTATTATCCAAAGTAGAAAAAACTTCAACATAGTTTAGGAAGATCGTATTAGCCACAAAATTTCCAAAGATCTTAGGTGCTTCAAACCCAATAACGCTACTTCTTGGAGTGCAACAAGGCCATTCTTAAGCCCATGAATTAGGTCACTCAAATGATGGGGATAGGATGTCATAAAAGATTCAGCCAGCTCTCACTGAACACCAATTGATTTTTAGATGAGATTATTGAAACCTAATTTTAACAAGTGGTATTACAGCATAGGGTCATGGCTTCGAGTCACAAGAGCCTTATGTTGAGGACATATTTTTGGGGTGCAACAAGTTCGATCTTAAGCCCATGGCGAAAAACTACTCCAATTTCTAAAAATAGCTCAGTGAATGAATGATCACACGGATGTACGCCTTGATAAGGCCGGGCTCGTGGGCTCAAAATGGAGCTTGAGCTTGAGTTTTGAGTTAGAGAAAGCTTGAGTTTGAGCTTGTGTTTGGTTACACAAATGATGTGTGATTTAATGCCTAAAAAGGTTTAAACTACTTTCACTAGGCACCAGTTGAATTTCAGATGAGATAGTTGAAACCTGATACTAACACTACAATTGAAAGAACTTATTAACAAATTAGAAGAAGCATAGTTTGAAACTTGAAAGAAATTTACATTTTTTAAGTTTCTACTTAAGTTGGAAGATTTGATAAGATGCTTAATTATTCTTGCATTAGTACTTCCATAAGAGTTAAGATTTTCACTTAAGCTTGCAGCATCAAATTTCAAGGCCTTCTGTCTGGTAATCTGTGCTTGAGAGATAGTTGACCATAAATGATTAAGTCTTGCTTTAAAATAAGAACAAATTTTATTCATTCCTGAGTTACATCAAAATGAGACCGGCCACAGAAAATTTACATAAGAGCATCTGAAATACTACGGCATTTTCAGTATCATGACATCAAGAGAGATTTAGAGAGACAGACTGTTATTGCATAGCTAGAAAAACTATTAACTGATGTGGTCATTTTGTGAACAAAATCTTTATGTATTCCAGCAGCGGACTAGAAGGCCGGACGAAGGAGTCACGGATTTTTTCCACCACCGCCCTTTTTCCCTCTTGGATCATGCTTAGGATTTGGCCCTGCATAATCATAATCTAACACTGCATCAAGTGCCAAGAGCTTTCTTGAATTTACTTGCATTTCTCCCTTCAAAAAAATGCAGAAAAGATTAGTTGAATCTCTTAATTGGTTTGTTAATATTGTTAGCAAATCTTTAGGTGGAAAATTCTTTCAATTTGCTCGAGAAGATAACTAAACTTCCATTGAAGATTCCCTCGAATCGTAAGCCTGGCTATGCTTAAAAAAAGTGAGAGTACTTTTTTGAAAATCAAGTGAAAAAGTTGAATATTTTTTGAAGTATTTAAACGTTATAAGATAAGTAACTTCAAAAAAATTCGAATATGTTTAGTAGAGAAAAAAATTTGCTATAAAAGGTAACTTTTTAGCATCGTCTCACCACAAGATGAGACATACCTTATATCTCAAAAATATGATCACAATTTTTCTATTTTTTCACACCATTCCCCCTTCTTGAAGGATGTTCTTCGTATAGCTCATGGTTGACATCATATGATATACACTATACTGGCTTGTTTGGTAAAGTGAACACTAAAGTAATGGACAGCGTTAAACAAAATAAGTTAAAATCTTAAGCATTATATTTTCACAAACGAGTTTACTACTGCCTACCAAACATGCCTATCATTTTTTAGGCAACTTCAGCATAAAATTTCATCGTCGGTACCTTCTTGTGTGGGTTTCTAAAAAGGTAGAAACAAAATATAGAAACAAAATAGAATTAAGGAACTATAAATAATAGCCAAATTACCTTGTGATTCATGAGAACGGTTTTTACACGAATCCCGGAGCAGTAGACCGTGCCTACAAAACAAGAAAACAACAAATGTCTCAGCTGATAGTTTATCACATGCATCCAATGTGCTAAGCAATAAAGATTAAGTTGAAAGTAAAGACTTTTCCAGATTGTATTCAGCTTAAAAACCTGTAGATAGGGAGACAAATAGTAACAGAAAAAGAAGAGAAGAAGCCTTCATAGTAAGACTCATGGCTTTGCTTGTATTATATTCACTGATATTAAGGATGTTTTTTAGTACTAGAAGGGTGAAGGGGGAAATGGCTGTTTTTATAAGCAGAAATGGGTGTTAAAATTGTTGTAGTGCACCCCACCCACCCAATAGCTGATAAATGATGATGATATGCATTACCTCTGAGCCACAATATGGAAGTCAACTTTAGAATATTTGTGTGTTTTACATCAAAAAAATAAGAAATAGTGTCTGTATATAGGGAGTGGGGGTGGGGGACAGATGATGATTTTTTTCTGCATGGCTTAGAGCACAGTAATTTGAAGATTTTCTTTTGGTTTTCATTTTCGAGGGTGTTTGACACCCATTTTTAAGGAAAAATGAATTTTACAATAGTAGATTGATGAAGAATATGTGGATAAAAAGTTTCTGATTTACGTGTAATATTATTTTAATGAAAAATGTGTGGTTGAAAAGAAGAGAAAGAAAAATACATTTTAAGAAAAATAGGAATCAAACGGGCCTTGATCTTTTTAGTGAGTCGATCTCTAGTGAAAATAGTACACGCTAGTATCAATCAATAATGTACAACCATCAATTATCTTTTGTTGGGTAGTGTTAGTCATTTATTGGTTGTCTTCAACTTCTAACAAAGTCTTGCTTCTATTTATTATTTTTTCTATGTACTCTCGTCACTTCGTTTTTTGTCTTGAGCATTACAAAGTTATCATCATAGTATAGCTCGATACTTCTTATGATGGTCAATGACTTGATATGTACTTAAGCCCAGGCATGACCCAAGATCACTTAGTTTTTTTAGTTAAAAAGAAAATGGGGAAAAAAATCATATTTCAAGTGTATTTTTTACAACAATTCAAAATTCAGGTAAATAATTTAAAAATTCAAAATTCAGGTATATATATAATTAATTAAAAATATTAATTAATTGATGGTCATAGATACATAAATAAAGGTCACTGTTAATTTATTGGTAACATATTATCAAATTAATTAGTCATAGATTATATCGATCACAAATCAAAAAATTTATTTATAGATCACGGTTTATTTCGAGGTCACAAATCAAAAATTTTATAAGTCACAGTTTATTTCATTGATCACAAATAAAAAATATTATAGGTCACAATTTATTTGTCGATCACAAATTTTCAAATTAATTGATCACAAATTATTTTTCAGTCACATATTATTAAATTTTTAGATCATAATTAAGTAATTGGTCACAAATAACAAAATAATTGGTTACGTATCACCTCCACCAACATTACCATCAATTGTGATCACCATTTCCTTGCAACAGTTGCCACCACCACAACACCACCACCACCACCACCACCATTGTAGACCTTCACCATCACCATGATCATTGTCAATCGCTACCACCACCGTCAACACCTCCAATCACTCACGCCCACGGCCATCACCGCTACCACCAACAAAACAAACTCTAAAACTACTCTACAACCACCACAAAATCAAATTCACGGCTGAAGACCATCGCCACCACCATTTTTGCAACACCATTGTCACCACATCACATCACACCGCAACAGCAACACCACCACGAACACCAACATGTAAAACCCACCATTACCGCCTATAACCTACCTAGATCGACCGTACCACCATCATTATCATCAACCGCCATGACCAACGTCAACACCTCCACCTGCATTACCAACAAAAGTCGTCGCCAGATCTACTCTTCTCAGTCTCTATTCTCCTCTCCCTCTCCTGTTGTCGAAGCCTTGCAGCGTAGGCAAATGGCATGATTATGCCCAACAACTGCAGATGGCGTAGCCATACTCAACGATGATGGCGTTACAGCTACCCGAATCTGCAACACCGTCGTCGGACCGACGATAAATGGGCTAGGTCTATGTCACTGTGGTACATACTGTAGTCACTATCGACGAGGTATTGTCTCTGGAGTTCGACGGTGATTCGACAATAAAAGAAAAAGAAGAGAGAAGGGAGAGTAGAGAGTAGAGAGAGATAAAAAAGATGGTAGAGAGAATGGGTAAAATTAGGGTTTTGAAAGTGAGAATTGGGTGAAATATTGAATATTTAAATTATTAAATCAATACTTATTTTTGCATAATGAAACTTCAGCCCTGATTTTTGAATTGTGATGTTTAAACATCTTATTTTGTGTAATTTCCACAAAGAAAATTGCTTAGATTTTGATTATATATATATATATATATTTTATTTTTATTTTTTTTATTATTTATCAGGCTTATAGCCTAGTATTAAAAAAAATTATTTGTCCCCTGGCTCTGTCCTACTTAGAGCAGAATTTCAATGGAAGTTGAGAATAATCGAAAAGAGACGAAGACCAGGAGATATAAAGAAAGAAACTCTAAGTAAGAAGAATTTCATAAAATATTTAAAGATGACCAGAAAATGGGTTATTATGACCATGAACGTGTTGTCACTATCCTTTTTGGAAGTGCTTTTAAGGGGTATTGCACCGGGCCAATCAAACAATTCTTAGTGTGGCTCGACCCACAAGAAATCCAAACTCGTACACACATTCAGTAAATAGATGACAACGAGACTTGAATCCTTAACTTTATCTAATCTAATACTATATCAAATTGAAGCCCTTAAACAATGCTACATATATCATTCAAACATTATATTTAACAGAACATATTTGTTAACCCTTCGAAATGTATGTTCAAATTTTGACTTCTCAGTGGCACCAAACAACACCTTTAAAGGATGGTGCCTTTGATCCTAAAATTTAGGCATTGGTCAAATCAATGTGTAGGAGACACAAAAAGGATATTAGTGGCCTACAAACGAGTGAATTTTTTTAGGGTTGAACTTTGGTAAAGGAAGCACTGCCAAAAGGTGGACAGAAAACACGACAACTTTAAACTTACTTATATTGTATTAATTTACTTATAATCATTCGTTTAGACAATTCATCTGTTGCTGGAAACACCAAATGTTTGTAATGATGATGATTTTTGGTGTTTTATGTGCGAGTAATTACAATGTTTTAAGGTTGTCGGGGAACATAAAAATAGCTGTCAATTGTTTATACAAATTGGGAAGCCCCTCTTCCCCCAACCCCGGTTTGCGGGCGGTTGATTGTGTCGTTGAAAGTAATATATAAAATTTTAACTTCTTTACTAAATAAAGGTGACTGTCGAAAATTCAGAATGATGCACTAATAATATTGCACGCATATTGAAATAAATAGAATAAAATATAATTCAAATGTAACGTCTAGTTGTGAGTGGAGATCAGACTCCGTTGAAGTCTAACATTGCATACATACTTTATGTGGGATTAATCGTATGAGAGACACTTCGTGATTATAAATGAGCAATAAATCTCTATCTTTTAGAGTGGATGGCCTTTTTCCAATTCTAATGTTTTCTACCTAAATCTTTATGTAGTTATTAGAGGCTCAAATCTATTCTCATTGAATTGAGAAGATTTCACTTAAAATTAATGGTTCAGTAGCGCTTCATTTTCATCTAAAGTATAGAAATTAAATTTAGATTTTTATCAAAGTCAAAGTCAATAATTCATTTTAATCACATATTTCATGGACTGACAACTTTTCAACCACACATTTTATCAACTTTTATTAAAATCTGCAAAAACTCTGATTTTGATCTCTGTCGAATAGGGATTAAGTACCATTGATATCAGCCTTAAACACATCGGAAATGAGTTTTAAAGACCCCTCAACCTATTCCGAGTGAGTGAAGCACATGGCAACATAATTGGCAGCATGCCGAACAAAAATACACCTCAAAGAAAGGAAAGAAGAAGCTAAGTCGTCAATGGAAACCAACGGCTTACCCTCTTGGGCATGGATGGGATGTTTTTGAATGGCCTTTCTGATTCCACCATCGAGACGTCCAAACCATGAGCTCTAGCAAAGTATAAAGTGTCATCATCATGTGACATTTTGTCAAATAGTGTTTAATAGTAGTCTACGTAGAATTATTATAATATGTCCAATTAAATGAATCTCATATGTCTATAATTAATTGGACTTATCAATTAGGGCGGCGCTTCATTGACAACCCCCTGAACAACCAAGGGGGGAGGGCACATAAACCCCGGTTGTTCAGGGGGTTGTTCGTGTGGGTTTTCCCTATCAATTATATATACTATAATGTACACTACATAGTATTACTCTCCCTACTATGTCACAAATGAAAAAAGTCATATATACAGGCTTTTCGTTCAGATATTTTTATAGGTGGCATTGGCAGCACCAGATTGAGTCTTCTTTTCCTTTTTTTTTTTTTTTTTTTTTTTTTTTTTTTTTTTTTTTCTTTTTTTTTTTTTTTTTTTTTTTTTCTGTTTTAACTTTTTTGTAACTTCCAATGAAATGATGCCGACTGAGATTTGTGAAAGAATTCCACGAACAAATTCTGTATATGTAGCATGATTCGTCACAAATTGTTGCATACACTGAATGGCCTCGAGTTCTTTAGCTTTCAACATTCGATTCGTACGAACTAAATGGAAGTAGCTATCAAGTGATATCTATATCCACTCGATACGTGCACTACACAGTAGTTGAAGGCACTAAGCTACTGTTGAAAGTGGTGCATACTGTTTTACTAGAGAGGCAAAACTACACAAATACACTGCCTCTGGACAACAATTGATTCTTCAATATCCTATTCTCAATCCTTCCAATGTCATCGCAGTTCATGACATTGCATTTTTTTAAATCCCAAAAGTTCAAAAACCAAAAGAAAAAACGTCTAAAACCGCAAGATTGACAGGAAAAAACGCAAACAATACTTCTACATAGAGAAACAGAGAAGCATGTATGTTTTCACAAATGCATGTATTTCGACTCTTTGACCTGTGAAATGCCATGATTGAAAAATTTTGGAGAAAAAAAAATGATGTGAATGAAATGCCTAACCTGACCACCCACCCGCCCGGCCCAGAATGAAATGCATAACCCGACCAGACACCCAACCACCTGGCCCACTAACCCCGACCTGAGCCCCCCAAATATAACATGATGAATGAAAATAATGAGATTGAATGCAAATCGACTCCAAGAACTTATGTATGACCAATGCAAGAGAAA